TAAGAGAGATGAAGAAGGTCACTACATCCTTGTAAAGGGAACAATCCAAGAAGAATATCATAAATATATATAAGCACCAAATACTAGTGCACCCAACTATATAAAACAAGTATTAATGAACATGAAAAATCAAATAAGCACTAATACAATTATAACGGGGGACCTCAATACCCTGCTGTCACAAATAGATCAACTAGACCAAAAAAAAAAAAATTCAATGAAGAAATTTCAGAACTGAACCAAACTTCTGAACAAATGGACTTAGTAGATGTCTATAGAGTATTCCATTCCACAACATCAGAATACACATTCTTCTCAGCAGCTGATGGATGTTCTCCAAAATAGAACACATACTAGCTCATAGAACACACTTAAGTAAATGCAAAAGAACTGAAATTATCCCATGCATATTATCAGGCCATAGTGCAATGAAATTGGAAATCATCATCTTCATCATCATCATCATCACTTGTAATACATGTAACATACTGGGAATCAAACTCAGGACCTTGCACTTGCCAGGCAGGTGCTGTGCCACTGAGCTATATCCTCAGCCCGATATTGGAAATCAATGGCAAAAGAAACCATAAGAACTTCATAAACATGTGGAAATCAAATAATACCCTCCTAAACAACCAATGAGTAACAGATGAAATTAAAGAAGATATTAGACAGTTTCTACAGTTAAATGATAATGCCAATACAACATACTAGAACTTATGGGACACAATGAAAACAGTTCCAGGAGGGAAATTTACAGCAGTGAATTCCCGTATCAGAAAACAGAGATAGCTCAAATAAACACGCTAATGTTGAACCTCAACCTTCGAGAAAAAGAAGAGTGAGTCAAGCCCAAAGCTCATATAAGGGAGGAAATTATATCCAAGCAGAAATTAATACAATGGAGACTAAGAAAACAATACAAAGAATCAGCGAGTCAAGAGTTGGTTCTTTGAAAGATTAAATAAACTGAGAAACCCTCAGCCAACCTTATCAGAAAAAGGAAAGAAAATACTCAAATCCATGCAATTAGGAATGAAAAGGGTAAAATCACAGCAGATTCTGCAGAAATCTAGAAGATCACCAATACCTACTCTGAGAACCTCTACTCTAATAAGATGGAAAACACTGAAGAAATGGACAGATTCCTAGATACATATGAATTATCAAAGCTGAATCAAGAAGATATAAAAATTCTAAATAAACCAATATCAGTCAATGAAATTGAAGATATAATTAAAAACCTATCAACAAAGAAAATCCCAGGCCCTGATGGATTCATTGCTGAATTCTAGAAGAAATTTAGAGAAGACCTAATACCATTACTTCTCAAAGTCTTTAATGAAATTGAAAGGGAAGTGGTACTCCCAAATTCATTCCTGGAAGTAAGCATTAACCTGATACCAAACCAGAGAAGGATTCAACCAAAAAGGTGAACTACAAGCCAATCTCCCTCATGAACATAGATGGAAAAATCCTCAAAAAGATAGTAGTAAACAGAATCAAGATTTGGTCATATACCATGACCAAGTGGGATTCATCCCAGGGATGCAGTGATGGTTCAATACACCAAAACCAATAAATGTAATATACCATATTAATAGAGCCAAAGACAAAAACCCTACGATCATCTGAATAGATGCAGAAAAAGTGTTAGACAAAGTCCAGCACACCACTGATAAAAAATTCCAGAAAAATGGAATAGACAGTCTTTACCTCAATCTGATAAAAGTCATATATGGTAAATCAACAAGGATCACACTAAATGGACAAAAACTGAAATGAACAGATATTGCTCAGATGAAAAAGTGGAAATGGCAAATAAATATATGAAAAAAATGTTCAACATCCTGAGTGTTCAAGAGATGCAAATTAAAACAACACTGAGATTCTATCTCACTCTACAAAGAATGGCTACTACCAAGAAATCAACCAGCAACAAATGCTGGCAGGAATGTGGAAAAAGGAACCCTTCTCCACTGTTGGTGGGAATGTAGACTGTGTAACCACTGTGGAAATCAGTGTGGAGATTCCTCAAAAAACTAAAATTAGAAGTTCCACTTGACCCACTTATTTCCCTTCTTGGTATCTTCTTGAAAGAATCAAAAGCATCATACCACAGCAATATATGCACACCCATGTTTATAGCAGTACAATTTATAATAGCTACATCTTTGAAACAGCCAAATGCTCATCAACTGATGAATGGATAAAGAAGATGTGCTGTTTCGATACAATTGGGTACTACTCTGCCATAAAGCAGGATAAGCCTGAGACATTTCTAGGTAAATGGATGCACCTTGAGACCACACTCTTTAGTGAAATAAACTGGATACGTATGTTTAAATACCTCATTGTTTCTCTAGTATGAGAAACTGAAAATGTAGGTAAGGACCAAAACGTATAACAGATATTGGGAAATGGGAAGAAAATATTCAATGAGAAGGGGAACAAGGGACGGAGAGGGGGAAAGGAAGGAAGGGACAAAAAAAGAATAGAAGGAAAAAGCTGTAAACAAAGCTTTTGTAAATAAAGAGGGGAAGAGGGACTGAAGGGAGGGGAGGGGAATGGGAAAATAAGAAAAAGATATATACAAGTGCAAATTCCTTATGATGAATGTCATCATTATGTATATCTGAAAGGTACCAATAAAAATGCATTAAAAATAAAATTAGTGGGCAAAATCTTAAGGAGGAAACAGAACATAGGCATAGTGTCAAAGCATCTTCTCAAGATTTCTACTAATAATAGAGAAAAAAAAAATAGCAGCTTTCCAGGTGAGATGGCTGGCAGGCACTGCCTTGACCAAATAACCAAGGCTCATAGCACCAGTAGCTAGACTTGTCCACACCATGTATCACTTGGTAGGGTGCTCTGGGCTTGCGACAGTGTCATTGTTGTGGTTTTCTTGCCAAATAATGCATTGCCTCCCTTTAGTGATGAGAAAACAACAGAAAGACCCAGATACTTTTACAAAGTAACTGGCCCGTGGTCCACAGGTGTCCAGGTCATGAAAGACAAAGAGAAACCAAGGAGCTGTCACAAATCAACGGAGACCAAGGGAACACACAATTCACCACAATGGGGAATTCAGGGCTGGTCCCTGCACACAAGAGGGACATCAGAGGGAAAAATAGGTTAAATTTAAATAAAGTTTATATCAGTTTGATTCCCGGTACCAAAAAATCAATCAATCAATAAAGTCTATAGTACATTAATTGTATTGTACCCAACATTTCATTTTGATCACTGTACTTGGGTAGGTAAGATGTTAGCATCATGGGAAATGAGGTGAAGCTTATGTGGAAATTGAACTGAAAGGATGATTAGCAAACTATCTGCAGAGCCTCATGGGTAAACAAGAAAATAAAAACTACTCAATAGGAAAGGAAAAAAATGAGCAAAAGATACAACAGGCATCCCAGAAGAGAAACCAAAGAGCTAGAGCTAGTAAACTCAGGGCAACTTCCATAAAACCATAATGAGATGCAATTAAAAACTTAAGTCTGCTAACATTAAATGCTGGCCTGTATGTGGAACAGCTGAAATTCCTGTATTCTTGTGGAAGCATAACTGCTACAGCCATTTTTGGAAATTGGTGATATTGTGTCTATTTGGAGATAAACACACCCATAACCTGGCAATCATATTGTACAATATACATCCTACAGGAACCCTTGAGCCAGTGAATCTGGAGAAGACAAGAAAGATCATAGGAGTTTGTTTGCAACAGCAAAACAGGAAACAATCTAGAAGTGTACCAACAGGAGAGGGCTAGTCCCAGCATATTCACGTGATGGAACATTATGCAGCAGAGAAAATGGAAAACCATGTGAGTAAATCTCAAATTGCTGAGTGACAAAGGCAAGTCCCAGAAGACTAGATACAAGAAGAAACTATTCATTTAAAGTTTGAAAATCTGTAAAACTCATGGCTCTATTGCTTAAAAATAAATATATGTTACAGCAAAACCGCAAAAGAAAGCCATGGACAAATGACATGAAAGTTGGGATTTGTTCGCTCAAGGTAAAGACATGAAGAGGCCAGCAGCATTTCCAGAGCCCAGACACCCTGGGTGTGCATCAGGGTCAGCTGTGCACACCTGTTCTGGTCATAGAAGATCAGTACTTCTCTTTGCACACTGTCAACACTAAAGGCAGTTAGGCAAAACCAAATGGCAAACATGTAAAACCCCATACTTTCTGTTTATAGATTCCTATGCTAACACAGTCTAGATGACTAAACTGACCAGCCTTTTTACAACTTGCAGACCTTAAGGCCGAAGCATCAAATCTGAAGGGAACAGAACATGAAAGGAGCCAGATGCTTCCAAGGTTGACCTGGAAATGCTCAGGGTCTGCTGCACCCGCATACCCCAGGTAGAGAGCTGTATGCAGGGGACACTGATTTCCTACCATGAAGAAGATCCCCACTTGCACCAGTGTTCCATATTTTAAAAACTTTTCTTTTTCCTTGAACAAAGCATTTAGCTAGAGTGAATTGTGCTTTTTCCTGAACCATTCAAGTAGCTTAACTGGCTTCTCTGTGTGTTTTTGTTCCTGAATATTAGCTTCTATAGCAATGTTTTGGTTGTTTTTTGAGGCAAGGTTTTGCTGTGTAGTCCACGCTGGCCTTAAACTCCTATGCAGCCCAGGCTGGCCTCAAACTCATGGTGATCCTTCCTGCCTCAGCCTCTCCAGTGCTGGGATTACAGGTGTGCATCACCACACCCGGTAATGCCACTGTGCTCGGTGACAGGATCAACTGCAATGTACAGTTTGCCTATGGCTTTATAGTTTTTAATGAAATTCTATTAAAGGGTAAAATAATCACTTAAGCTAGGCATGGATGCACACTTATAATCTCAGCCCTTTGGGAGGTAGAGGGAAGAGGATGAGAAATTCAAGCCCAGCGTGGACAACTCAGTGAGAGCCTGTCTCAAAAACAAAAAACAAAAAACAAACAAAAAAGAAAGAGGTAAAGGCAGGAGGTTCACTCACCAGCTGGAACTCGCTCCTTCGGCTGAAAGCCTCCTGGATCCCAGAGTCCCCCCAGAGTGCGCTCAGAGCCGGCACATACAGTTGGAAGGTGGCAGGCTCCACAGGAAGCCCTGCTTTATTCTCGAAGGCCATCAGGAACATCCCATGCTTTTCATTTTCAGAGTGCTGCCAAGGAATGCCAAGCTTGTCTCGTGCATCAACAAGCACCCTTGAGCCCTAGGAAGTAAGAGAAGAGAAAAAAGATTTAATTGTGCTCTGAGACTAACTCATGAACAAGAACCTCCATACATACAGGCACTGGTTGTCATAAAGCACAGCACTCACAAGCTGTTAAGTTTGCAACCAGAACTCATCTCATGGTTTGTTTTGTCATGGCATGAATGCCTGAACTCCTAGGACCACGACCTTATGGATACACACACACATACACACACACACACACACACACACACACACACACACACACACACAAACACACACATTGGCTTTTCCCTCTGCTTGTATAAAAAGCACCGGAAAGAGGCCAGCTGAGGGGGAGGAAGCACAACCCAGCAAATTTCACTGGAAAATGAGCCGCACTGTAAAAAAGACAATGGTCTGAGGATGACAACAATGACTAGTACTGTTTGTGGCATCACCCATGAACCTTGTAGCTCCTAGAAGGTACTGCTGACTGTCCCCACTTAAAATCTGTGGGGAAATGTGTACACAGGCCGTCACAGCCATAAGACAGGATCAGACAAACCAGGACAGGAACTGAGCCAGCCCACAAGGCATGACAGCCTGTCCTCAGCCTAATGCCACCACTGTTTGTGGCTGTGAGAAACCATTTTCCTTTCTTTTGCTTCTTTCCTCACTGTTAAAAATAAAGTTGGCATTCTCTGCCCTCTTCTAACCTCAGACAGGTCAAAAGGATGTAGAAACTGCCCAAATAAGAGTGTCGGGGTATGAAAACTCCCTCTCTGGGCAGCAAGCAGGTCTGCTACCTACATATCTGACAAAGGGCTCATGTATCGAATATATAAAGAACACTCTAAATTCAACAGTTACAAAAAACAAGCCATCCAGCTAGAAAATGGGCCAAGGACATGCTGAGGATGTCACTGGAAGACACACGCAGACAGCAAATCAACAGATGAAAGATGGTCACATGCACTGGAGGAAATGACCACTGCCTCACTGAGAGGGAAGCTGCGGCAGTGGTGGGAACTTATGCAGAGCTAAATGTACACTCATCATACAACCAGGCAACTTCACTCCTAGTCCCAAAGAAATAACCAAAGGCCATACAAAACTTATCTAGCAATGTCCACAACAGCTAGATGCACAGAGCCCCAAACTGTAGAACACTCACTCATACCATGGAATATTACTTGGCAATAAAAGGGGTGGGTGAGGCTGGGTGTGTAGCTCAGTAGTTATGAAAAAAATGAATGAACTTGACTACTGACATGTAGCAACCTGGACAGACCTGGAGAACATTAGGCTAACTGAAAGAAATCAATCTCAAAAGGCTACAACCTATGATTCTGTTTATAATATTTTTGAAATGACAATATTATAGAGATGGACAACGTATCAGTAGTTGCTAGGGGTTAGTGATGGAAAGGAGTGGGACTGACTGAAAGGGGCAGTATGAGATGTGTGCGGTCTTGACTGTGACGGTTATACAAAACTACGAGAAGAGACAAGGACCATCCCACCACACACACTGTACCAATGTCATTTCCTGGCTTTGATATTATACTGCAACTATGCATACTGTAACAACAGGGAAAACTGGGTGATCCCTCTCCATGCTATCTTTGTAACTTCCAGGGAACCTATAATTATTTCAAAATAAAAAGTTTTTTAAAAGTTACCTAGCAATCATAGCAACACATGTTTCTACTACGTGGCATGGAAATGGTGGGTTACCAGATGTCAAAGGGAAAGAGACAGTGGGAAAAGGTGAGGCTTGGTAAGATCCGGCTGAGCTTCTGCCAGCGCGCACTTGTGTAAATGAAAGGAACAGTGGGTCAGAACCCGTCCAGAAGACTGTGATCCCAATCAGTCCTCCATGCTCCTCCTGCCCTGCTCCTCACGCTGACTGCTGCCTTGTGCCTTCCCATCTCCCCCTGTCTTTGATTTCACCACGATCTCCTGCCTTCCCAAAGAATGAAAGGCCAAGGATTTGAGAACCCAAGGAAACAAAGATGATTCCTATTTTCCACATTATACACAACGAAGATTATTGGAACATGTAGATGGTAGCACAGATGTGTGTGGGGAGGTCTCCGGCAAAGAGTCTCGGCCTTTTTGTCCCCATCAGAAGGCTCCCTGTCATCTGGGTGTACAAGCCTAGGCATGGTGACGGAGCCGGAGCAAGACTTCTGCCTCCACCTGACATGAAGGGGATGAAGAAACAGCCTAAATAAGTGTTACGGGAAGGAAACTGCCTGGCTGGGTGGCAAGCAGGTCTCCTTTGTCCAGGTAACCAATCTGTCCGCCAGATCTGTAATTCAGTATATAAACTGCATCTGACCCACAAGGTACCTTTTCAGGTGCCATGCTTAAACACTAAAGAATTTAGCTTCACAAGAGTGTGACCTCACCCTTGTTAAATCCACAACCCCCTAGGAGTGTAATTTTTGTATATCAGGAACAAAGGCAGGGGGCCAAACCAGACTCAGAAATCTGAAGGTCATGTAATGAGACTGTTTCCAACAACACACAAACCAGGCATGAATTTGGCTTAAAACACACACACACACACACACACACACACACACAAATGTGCACATGCACAAAGCTAGCCTACCCGACGGCAGCTGGTCTTGCCTCTGCACACCACCACCAAGCAAGTTGGAGCTGCCCCAACTCACTGCTCCAGACACAAGGAAAAGACTTCATATTCTCTTTTCCAGAATCCCAGGCAGTTGGCAAAACTGAGATCAACTTTGAATTACAACAGTTAACTGGAGCCCCGTCAGTATCCTCCTTTTCATTTGAAAGGAAAAAAAAAAAAAGATGTTTTTCTTTTGCTCATTTAAATTATTTTGAGTCAAAAACTGCTCCTTGCCAACTTTGCTCTGGAAATCTACATCTGAGTTCCAGGGAAGTTTTCTACTTTGTGACATCTGCTGAAGTTCCAAGTCTACTTTTCTTCCTTTTTAGACGGAGATGTGAACTCACTCTGCTGTTTAAAGTCACTGGCAACACTGTTTACTTCCACAGAACAAGTGAGAGTTGCCAGAGTCTGAACATAAAATACTAGTATAAGAGGCGCACTACAGTAAGACAGCTTGCCCTGTCTTTTCTAATAAAGGCCAATTTCCTAAAATACGAAAGCGAAGAAAATCCTAAATCTCATATATACCTAAAAGGGGAAAAAAACGGCCAGAAGACAACTGACATACCCTTGCTAGCAATGTTACAAAAGGTTTAATTTTTTGATAACCATACGTTTTATTCAGTTGTGCAAATATAAACAGCTACAGTCTCAAGCAGTTTGATGACTTCATCTCAACACAATGTAACACTTTAAATTGTTCAAGGAGCTTTTTAAAGACGATTTATCCCACAATTTAAACTTTGAGTCAAGGGCTAGATCCCCTGTCTGCTGGGGATGTAGATTTGGGGAGTTTTTGGTTTTACTGGATGAGTACCAAAAAGTGCAAATCCAGTTATCTCATTTCCAAATAGATTTTGTTAGTTTAGGCCCTGATCAAACCAAATTTTTTTAAAGCAGTCATTTCTCACTAAAATCTTTCCATAGTAAATACTAAACCTAAGTTAATCATAAATGCTAGTAAATAGGATTAGCTTTCCTACAGCATGAAACAGATCGAAGACACTTTCTGGTTTTGAATGTGTACTCAGACAACACTTGTGTATTTGGAAGGCTGTTTTTTAAAAACCCACTCAGCCCAGTTGTTTGCCTTTGGCCACCATCCAAATCAAAGAAATGCTGCCAGAAATGTAAACAGGATACATTTCTTTAAGTTAATGAATCCAGCCAGCAGAGACAGACAGCCTCTCTTAGTTTCTCTTTGGACTTGAAGCGCAGGGTACCTTCTCATCTCAAGGTCAGAGAGTGAGAAAGCAAAGGGAGGCAGACAAGCCTGTCCCGAAGGCCCTACCAGTTACAGTGGGAAGCTGGACGGGGTCCCGGTCCAATCTCCTGTGCCCTCCATAACTCTTCATGGATGCTTTCCGAGACAAACACATCGTTGTATAGAACAGGCATACATATTATTTCGCTAGGGAAGTCACCTATAGAGTTTTACTGGCAACTACACCAAGGGCCTGCCTGGGGGTGAAGGACCAGGTAACAGGAAGAAAATCTAAGAGGTGGTAAGTGTGGCTCCTGTTCTCAGCGGTGGGACAGAGCACAGCAGATACGCCACAGGCGCATCAGCTATGGACTCCAGAGACAGAGGCCACAACTGAAGGTCAGAACAGTGCCAGGAAAGACCAGAAATGTCACTGCTGGTGAGAGAAGCTGGTTCAAGACAGATTGGGGTAAGCTAAAAATTCTGAACTCCTGAAGAATCAGGTCAAACAATGTTTTGGAAAAGGGGCATAACAAGGTCAGAGCTCTCTATCTGAGCGGTGATTAGTGCAAGGTGTAAGAGGAAGAGGCCTCCAAAGGTAGGACAGCCATAGGCGGACACCAAGTTCCCTCACTTGTGGAGTCAACAAAAGAGGCTGAGAGGTAAAATCAAGAGGACCTAACGCAGCAGCCACGCCGCATAGGGAGCGGCCGACAGCCACCAGGCTTCAGGGTTTGTTCAGAGGAGGTGTGGCTGAGGAGGATGACTCATATGGGTGAGTGTTTGACAAACTTAATGGGACAGTGGGAAATGCCTGGCAAAAATGTAAGGAAATCGGTGGAATTGTGGGAAACATTCTGGGTTTAGGAAGCGCACATGAAAAACAAGCTGTTGCCATTAGCTTTTTCAGGATGCTTAGGAAAGGTTTTCCTGAGAGTCGAAGAGAAAAAGGAATTCAGCATCAGCTCAGATTTCCTCAGCTCTCCAGAACTGGAATGTGGAAAAGCCTTGCTGTATTTCAGAGCCCGAGAGTGGGAGCCGGGGTTGCCTCCTGGAACACATGCTGACCAAGTTTTCTTCTCTTCTGTTCTTCCACGTGTCAGCCTTTAAGTATCTCACAGGAAAAAAATAAAGAAAAATAAAAAATAAGCTGGGCGTGGTGGCGCATGCCTGTAATCCCAG